CTTTTTTTTTTTTTTTTTAATTTCAGAGCCCTCTCTCACCTCCACCCCATTGAAAGGCACAAGTTCAGACTGCTTCTTAGAATACAGTGAGGGGGAGTCACATGAAGTCTTGGACCAGTCTTCCAAACAAAGAAGGTGGGGGGGGGATGGGAAAGCAAGGACCCACTCTCACTAACACTAAACTAGTTCAGTTAAGGTAATGGAAGGGAGAGTGCAGTAGGACAGGGAGTTCTGGCTTAGCAGTTAGCTATGGTGTCAGGAAGGAATTTTTTTGCCCAGGCCTAATGGGCACAGGAAGTTTTTGCCTTCCTCTGTAGCAAGAGGTCTGGTCCTTGTCTTAGGCTCTATTGAGCATAGATAAATTACTTCCTTCCTGTTACAGTGGCAGTGCATTGGCAATGCCCTGCTCTCACCCGCTTTTTACCTGTGGCATGTTCTTCATGGTTTAAAGACTCCTTTATCGATAATGAGTGCCTGTGAACCAAATGATTCCAGTCCTATGTTCCAGTGGATGAGGTGGGGCTAAAATTCGAGTCTTACACTCCCTTGGGAAATGCAGTAACCACTAGGTCAGATGGCCACCCTCCTCCATGTTACTTCTAGAAGCAGTGAACGCAGGAGGATCTTATTCCACCACAAGTAGGAATAAAACCTGGCTGCGTGTTAAGTGCCAAAAATTGCTATTCTGCTGCTACACCAGTGCCATAACTGTGCGGATCAATTAGGATTTAGACCTTAGCATCAGGATACACAGGTCACCACTACTTTGGGCAGCAAATGCAAAACAGATAAAGATTAATCATCCCGCCTCACTTACCCAAGACGTGTACTGATTGTATCTGTTCCTGAAGTAAACCATCCAATTTCCAAGTGTTTTGAGTGTGTCCGGGGCCAGCTTTCTCCAGATGTTAGGGATCTGTCCATTAAAGAGCGCCCGAGCCACCTCATCTAGCTCGCTGCTCATTCCAACTTCCCCAGCCAAGGCCTGATGAGAGAATTTACAAAGACATAACTTAGACATTTCAGAGCCCAGCAGCTTTCAGCAGAGAGGAATTAGCTTTGAATAATAATACTCTTTACTCTTTGTAGCTCTGCCAGTGATTTGGCCATACGGACAATCAGTTTGTTGAAACGTTCCAGTTCCTGTAACAGCACCACTGTTGTAGGTGAAATGTCAGTGCCCAAAGACTTTCTTATCTGATCAAGATCAAATATTTGCGGTATTTTGTTTTCTATGTCCTTGGCAACCTGTCCAATATATTCATCTCGACTGATTCCAGCACCAGATTCACCTGAAATAGACACAGCACAGAGAGGTTAAAGCTAAAAGCCTTTATATTTTCTATGCTCACTCTCAAATCAAACCCCTCCTCCTGCGTGGTAGAGGTAGTTGAGGCATCTAAGCAGGGGCTGTGGATTCTACTTCAAGAGCTGGACACCTAGAAATTAGGTGGTGTGGTGCTGAGCCATACAGCGCTCAAGTCCCTTTGTGGAGCTGGCCCTCAGGGCTTGCTTTCTTGTTGCAAGAGTTGTGACAGAGAACTGTACCTGTTTGCGGCTGGAGCTCCAGGAGATGAGACCACATGTCTCGAGCTGCCTGTGTATAATATCCAATTTCAGCATTAGGATGAAGTCCAAACACCTCTGGCGTGTTAGCAAGTGGAAGAGATTCTACCTCCGCTAGAACACAAAAATCCATGAGGCTCATCAGAATGTAACACACTAAGGGACAGCAACCAGATGAGAACAATGAGGCAAACAACAGCCTACTGTGCAGCCTTTCCTCTTGGAAATCAAAGCTGTGGCTGGAACCTTGGGCTGACATGTTGGTTACATGCCTTATATAAGGGAAACAGAAAGCAAACCCTAGTGCAATTGGAGTTTTCAATACTAAACTCAGGGAGAAGGAAGAGCATTTCTTACCCACAAAGTCGTCCTTTAGCTGCCCAGCTGGGATTTTATAATCCACCTCATCGTTTCTATAGAAATGGAAAGGCTGGAAGGTGTCAAAGATGAAATCTCCCAAGTACTCATCCATGTAAGTGGTCAGGATGCGGCGATCAAAGCTGTCAATCGCACGCCCACCGTACATGACCTAGCCATTCAAATAACCAGTTTCAATGTCACACGCTTGTATTCGTGACAATCTGATTTTACAGCATCGAATGCTCCATGGCAACCTTTGCTGTATCAAGGCCTGCATAGTGCATCCTACTGCCCCTTTCATAACAAACCCTATACTTCTCTTATAGCTCCTCTGAACAGGAAAGAAGCAGGAAGAGTTTGGATACTACACAGATAGTTGCCTAGGCTGTTCCTGTCAGTCAAGCTGGATAAAGATTGAAAACCCCAGCAGAACAAAAGCTTTCTTAGATAAAAATTCCTCTTCTTGCCAGCGGTGCTAGATACTACCCACTCTGCAATGGTGGGACTGGTACATCACAGGAGCTGTGCAACCATCCAGTCTTCTGCAGTAACCCATTGCAAGAAAAATCCTTGCAGCTATCTCTGGGGATCCTTCAGCAAAAGGCACTCAACAGTCTGTCTCCCCAAGAACTGATCCATAATCCCTACTGCTACACCAAGCTCTTTGCTCCATTTTAATTTAAACCAAAGTGCCTTGTCTGGGGCCATGTAGCAATTTCTAGGGCAAGTCAGGAAAGAGGCAGAGCCTGCTGTACTTGACAATAGCACAAACAAAAAGGCATCTTTATTTACATGACTTCTTTTTAACCACAAAGCTCTGGAACAGGGTTATATTAAGTGCTTACCTCTCCAATTAGATACTTGAGACTGCCCCAGGGGATTTTATCATCGCTTTGCTGGAAAGCTTTGGTCAAATATGTGCTCAGAATTTCCATGCATACCTAGCAGAGTCATTTAAGCAGGTTAGAGAAGATACACAAATCAAGTGAATGTGTTCAGAGGTTTGTTTAGCTTTCATAAGGTTCTGATTTAATCATCCTACTTCCTCAAAAGAATGGAAAAAAACAAACACTTCCTGTAGGAAAGTCAGAGAGGGGGGAAATGGAAAGAGAAGAGAACACGCATCTGCCTCCTCTTTCTTACCAAGCTTAATACTAGCTTATGGCAACATTATAAAAGATAGTGAATCAACAGTGTCTGAAGAATAGGAAGAGGAGGAGGAGGAACATTCTTACTGTGAGGAAGAATGCAAGACAGACAAACAGCACATTCTCAAAAGTAACTTGCATGGGTATTAATATTAGGTTCATACCTGGAAATCTGATTCATTGAAGTCGTATGGTACATTCCAGCCAATCTTCCCAAACTTCCTCCTCTCCTGAACCACAGCATGGAAAAATGCCAAGACATAGACTAGAGATTTAAAAGCAGGATGTGGGCACTGCTCTAGGGCTTCATGGGGGATTTTGAAGTAAGTGGCTCTCATGTTCAGTTTCAGACCATTAGGTGGTTCTGTGACAACCTGGCAGAAAGAAGACAGACAAACTGTCAATTCTCCTTCAACCCTGAATATTTGATTAGAGGCTATTTGGTGGAAAAGTGGAAATACAGCATGTTCTTTACATTACAGCAAATGAGTAAAACAATGAAACACTTGAACATTAGAACAAGCTTTATCATCCCACGTGAACAAGGGTATTTTTATTCCATGAAATTATGCACTTTACATTTTTTCTGTATGCATTAAGGTAAAAATATAGAGAGGGAAGTTACAGATTTTCTTAAGTATAACAAAACTAGAAACATGTACTTAGGAATACTGAACTGCACTTTGAGATCAAATTTAGATACTCAAAATTACACATTTTAACTTAACTTTCCATCATCCTTTTGGAGGTATGTGAAGATCACTGAACTCATTTTACAGATGGGGAGTCTGAGGCATGGCCAGCTTTGTGATTTGATTTTTAAAAAGTCACAGAACCCCAGGAGCATGCATAACTGAGTCCTTGACTTGTCAGCAGTGAGCGCATCCTTCTCCAAAACTGGGAATTTGCAGAGTCACAAGCTGAAGACGTGTGTGTGTCTATTTTTTCCAGCTACTGATTTAGGCACCATTGAGGGGGGGGCTGTTTTAAAGATCTGATGGCCACCTACAAGTTTATCAGGGGTGACCACCAGTATCTGGGGGAACGTTTGTTCACCAGAGCACCCCAAGGGATGACGAGGTCGAACGGTCATAAACTACTACAAGACCATTTCAGGCTGGACATAAGGAAGAATTTCTTTACTGTCTGAGCCCCCAAGGTCTGGAACAGCCTGCCATCGGAGGTGGTTCAAGCACCTACATTGAACACCTTCAAGAGCAAATTGGATGCTTATCTTGCTGGGATCCTATGACCCCACCTGACTTCCTGCCCTTTGGGCGGGGGGCTGGACTCCATGATCTTCCGAGGTCTTTTCCAGCCCTGCTGTCAATGAAATCTATGAAAGATGCCACTGGCAGCTTAGATTGTTTGACTTGGTGAGAGTAGTTGAAGTATCATGCCACTGCCCTAACATCTAAGAGAAAAAATATGCTTGCAGCAGTGATTTAGAACAACAGAAATAAAGTAACCACAGAAAGAACATTAGAGCAATATTTCTGGCTTGCAATTTAAAAAAAATCAGTTCAGCTTGGTTGTGATAAGTGCATCAGACTGAAGAAGCAGCTGGAAACCATTATTCTGTTACAATGTCTGCTCCACTCTCACTGTTGCCAAGCTAGTCACAGATCTCATGTCTATATTTAAGCATTAGACCTGACAGAAAGTATTTCCACGTATCTGGGTATTTTCTAACCCACCCATGTGACATTTGGGTTCAATGTTTATTTGCCAAGCTGTGTAGGTTTACTGAAAGGACATCACTTGGAGCTACCCACCTTAAAGTAGTGGGCCAGTGAATGCTTCTGTTAAGCATCCTGCCCACCAAAGAAAATCCACCAATTGAAAAATTGAGAATGAAACAATCTTGCTCACACCAAAAAAAAAAAGACAACTTAGGGCCCCATTTTACATCCTGCACTTGGGACAACCTCAAATCAGGACTGCCTGAACAGCCATGGTTACTCAAACCCTCTGCTAGCATGTTCCTACTGTACTGTACCTTCAAAGACTTCTGAAGTATTCCAATAGGAAAGCTCTTGGTTGGGTCAGTTGTTAGCCACAAGCGGAAGTCTGGATGAGGCTTTGTAATCTTCTCCAAGGCCTTCTCCAAATCAATCAGCCATTTCACCAAGAGATGACAGTTCTGCAACATTAACCACTGTCCACGAGCCACCGCATTTTCCAGCAACTGCAGTGCAACCTGCATCAATGAGATGAAAACAAGCTGCCTATGAGTAAAGTTTCTTTCAACTCTGAAAGTGAAGGGATTCTGAATGGTTTAGTGCTTCTGATGCTTCCTCAGGGCAAGAAAGCAAAGCAGAACATGTTATGGTACCACAGAGTTCACTAAGCATCCTCCAGTGGTAACAAACATCTGCAAATGAAGCAGCTGTCCCCCTTCTCAGAGCCTTGCAGGAATACCTAGTGTTGGGAGAGCCACTTATATTTCTATTAAGGTGGTAGTTTCAGAAGTCCTTAGCACTGACCTAATGTTGATCTTGTGGAAGCTAATAGGAGTTTTGCCATTGACTTCAATTGCAGCAGTCAATCAAATGTTAAGTGCTTTTGAAAATCCCATTTCAGGGTTCATGGCAGAGCACAGAAATAACTGGAAGCACAAAGAGTGCATGGCAGATTCCCCAAACCCCAATTTGCAGTTACAACTCTCCCCACATTCATATCAACAGCTGAAAAGTGACTTAAACTCTTAGGGTGTTTATAGACGGGGGGAGGGGTGCTTTAATTAGTGCAGCTCCAAGATGCAATATTCACAAGCTGACAGAGAAAACCCAAGCGCACACCTGCTACCCCGCTGACCAGTGTTTGTGCACAGCCACTTGCCTTTTCTTGTCCTTGTCCCATGGCAAGGAATTTGAGCCTGCTTCCTCCAAAGCCTGTCCGTTCAGCCAGCTTCATGAGGTCACTGGCAGGGTCGGACCCAGGACTTAGGATGAAAACAACTGGTGAGTAAGGAGTGCTCTGCTCAAAGATAGCATCAAAGCTGATCACAGGAGGCTGAACGTATCTGCAGAGAGAGGGCAGGAAAACAGGAAATTGCTTCATTAATTATCACATTCAATTATTATTTATAATTATCAGAGTCAATAACATTCAATCTGGAAAAGATATCAGGGATATAAATCGTGTCTTATTTAGGCAGGATGATCAAATAATACACCAGGAAGACCATGAAGATCTAAGACTCCAAAATGGACAAAAAAAAATGAAATGACAAGATTTACCAGTGAACAAAAATTAACTTCATTTTGGGACCATTGAATGTTTTGGTTCAATACCATGAAACTGTTTTGTTTCAATAAGGTAAACACAATATTGTCTATAAATAATTCAAACTAGTCTTTTAATATATTGAAATAAGAAGCAAAATTTACTGAAATGGAAAAAGCCAAAACAAAACCTTTTACCTTATAAAATCCAAATGTTTTGAAGTCATTGAAAGAAAATAAGAAAGATGAAATGATTTATTTGGCCATGTTTCTGATGACAATTGTTTTTCAAAATTGACACATTCCTGTGAAATCTTTAGATTTCAATTACACTGCTTTTTCCCATGGAAAACTACCATCTAATATTTCTTAGCCAGTTCTAATTACAACTACCTATCTTGAGAAGGTAAAGGCTAAATAAACCAAGGTTAAATGACTTTATGGGGGTTATTTTACATAGAATTTTCTTCACTGGTGGTTTTAAGGCAGACTCCAGACAGGCACAAGTCTAGGTTGATTTATGAACAATGCATCTGGCATCTGTGCACCAGGCCTGGACTCTTCAGGTCCCTTCCAGCTGTATAATTATGTGACTATTTTTTAATGGAAAGGACCTTTAAAAATGTCTATTATCAGTTGGCAGTTTGGGAAGCATTTTAGCCAGGAGGGAGAGAGAATGGGAAAGATACGACAGTTAATGTTAGGTGAAGCGATACTGTGAGCAAAGAGCTGGCATTTTCAGGCACCCAGGGTTACCACACTGCCCAAAATGATAGAAAAGACAGCTGTATCTCCAACAATGTTTGGCTTGAAATACCAGCTTAGGTTACTGAAATTAATTTTTTTTTAAAAATCCCCTCTCATACAGCACCTTTAACTATGTGTTAAGAGGCTACGAGGAAGTAGAAGCATGCACAAATCTGTACTACATAGGCTTGGGAAAGTCAAGGCATCAGCAGAGACTGGTTTGTTTTCCTGAGTACAAATTCTCCCCAGACATACTTACCAAGGTGCAACAGCATAGAAAAGGAGAAATTCTGACAGTAATTTTAAATCAACACCTACTTTTTGTTTAGCATCCAAAGACCTTAAAGCACAAAATACCAGTCAGAATGTAACACAATCCTTTTCCTTGCCAGGTTTAGATTTGTGACCACTAAACCTTAATCTACAATAGATGCTTGGTGATTCCTTCAGAGAACCTCTGACTTTTACAGTTCTTTAAAAATTAGAAAGATTCCAGTGAACAACAACGTGACAGCACTTACTTCTCACTCATTGTCAAAGTGACGTAATCAGTCACTGCACGGTACACCCGGTCCACTCGGAAACACCGCAAAAGCAGGAGCTTCTGAAAATGTGTGAGACTGTTGCAGTAGTGCATGGGAAATGGCGATTGTTCCGGGGCATCTAGGTCATACCACTGGGTGAAGAAGTACAACAGAGAATACAGGTTAGTCAAATGGCTAAATAAACTGATATATTAGGAGAGGCAGAGTCAGTCTCATAAAGGAAAGAAACAAGAGAAACAGATATGGGAAGAAAAGAAAGGGAAATAAACAAGAAACTCAGAGAAGATCATTAAAGAAAAACTGGAAAAAAATATTAAGTGAATGCCATCACTTCAACTTTTTCCATCTAAAAACATGGATGGCTGGAGTCACCTGCACATTTCCATGTTATGGCTGGAATTTGTCTTATGATAGAAACAAAAATCATAATCACAAGCTAAAAGTAATAGTGAATACCCTGCAGTAAGCAAATCAAGGACTTCCTTTGCTCTCTATTATATTTCAAGGAAAAAGGGGCATGTAATGAAACAAACGCAGCAAATTTAAAAGTTAGTAAAGGAAATGCTTTACACAGTGCATAGCAGAATTAAACAAAATATTAGAAGTGAAAGCCTGTCTCTACTGAAATCAAAACTCCCGTTGATTTCAATGAGACCCAATTTTGCCTAAGGTATCTACATGGAAAACAAGAATCCCTACTGTTACAGTGTGGAAAATGTCTTAAAACATTAAGAACTCTCTATTCAGGGTGCAAGCCAAATACTGATTGTCTCAAGTCAGGAAGAAACTTCCCCCGTGGGCTGGGCAATTCCTGAATTGAACACTATTGGGTTTCCTTTCTCCTAACGCATCTGGTTAGAGACAGAATATCAGGCTACATAGGTGACTGTTTTTTCCCCATTACCACAATGCCCATGTTCCCAAATTCATCATGCTATTTACTTTTTATCTTCCAAATTAGAAGCCGATCAAGACATCAAATGAAAAGGCTAATGACATGCCCCCCCCCTTCCAAAAAAGTTCTTACAAGTTATATTATACTTGAACATATAATAGTTGGGAAGGGGAAAAAAGCACCTACATTTTTCCATACATCTGGATTTTTCTCTACATCATCTGAAAGAGACTCAAATTTCTCAGGAAACAGTTCAGACAGGCGCATTATGTCCTCCCAGCCTTGATCTGAAAGCCAAGTATATGGCTTCTTCCGTGCACTCTTCTCCAATGAGATATTCCCTGGTCACAGTTCAGAAAAATGAGTACATCATTGTCATAAATGCCACAATACATAGTCTACTTAGACAACCCATCCCAGGAAACTTGTTAACTGGGAGCCCAATACCTATGAATTAGTTTACTGGAGGAATCTTTGCAAGTATCTGAAGGCCAAGGTATTATTTCTGCCACCGTTTATCCATTTAACAACCAATGAACTCTTGGGATGGTATGTTGGCCCCTTGAAGTCAATGGGAGCTTTGCCACTGGCTTCAGTAGAATCAGTGTTTCACAAAGGGCCAAGATATTCAACTGGTGTAAACTGTTACAGCCCTGCTGGCTTTGAGGGCACTTCAACAATTTTTACCAGCTGAAGATGTAGCCTAATGTGCTGTTACAGTCAAACACTAAAAGTTCACATTACCTTTTAAAAAGAAGTCAAGTTCTTCCTGTGGGACTCTGCCATCAGCTTGTTCTATCTTGATAGTCATATTAAAGGAAAAAAGTAACTTGTGTCTCTCAAACAAGCCTGCAATAAGAAGTTAACATTCTCATCAGCCTGCTTCTAAAACATTTGGAGATTCAGCAAGCTTCAGCTCCAAGCTTCAGCTCCAAGTCCTAAGCCTGATTGCCCCACAAAGTTCTAGGGAATGAGAAATGGGGTTTGGAGCCAAGACCCATAGAAATATGAACCTGCTGCTATATTGACATTCAGGCCTGAATTTGGAGTCAAATCCCCTTCAATCTGCAGCAGGCCAGGGTGCCACTCTCCATAGTTTTAGTTTAGAACCATTGATATTTGTAGCCAATACTTTATTCAGAGTAGCAGGACATCTTAAAGTTGCACGGATGGATTGCAGCACTTCTCTGTACTTCAGAGCAATGTTGCCATGAGGGAAGATGAGCTACAAAGGGTTACAAGTCTCAGCAGGGAACAGAGAAGGAATTCAACTTTTGAGGAACTACCTTTGGCAGCACAAACTTTGGGGTTCTACACAGCTGACTGAAGGCACATGCATTACAAGGACACATGCTTACCCAACTGGTTAATCACACTAACCTGTGCAGCCATAGTTATAGACGTTGAACGTCAGTGTATCCATGATATTTTGTAGCCTCTTCGGAAGAACTGAGTTGGGCATGGATTTTCGAAGTGAAAATCCAAATACCTCTAAGAAGGAAGCCAAGGAGTACTGATACATGGAGTTGACCAGGGCCATCTCAGACAAGACAAAGAACAAAATGGCACCCCTCTTCGCAGCAGGTCGGTAGCCATCTCGCAGCTTGTCGATGTCCATGGCTGTCTTCTCAGCCAGCTTAAGTTTCTCTGATACCTAGTTGTAAGTGAGAAAACCTTGTAATTGATTTCATTTGTATATAACTGCTGTAATGAGTGACATGATGTATTATGTGCAGAGCTAATCTGTAGACAAACAATACTGAAATAGCATTTTCAACTATTCTGAACACCTAGGTTTTACAAATACATTAACCACGTTTCTCAAGACATACTGCACGTTCTTTAGTTAGGTGGGTGACTGTGCATGACTGGGAAAACAAATTCTTTGGGAATTAAGACTTCTGTCTCCAGGCACACGTGCTACACCTGTACCTGAAAGAATTCTCATGTCCAACTGCCCATGATGTGACTCTTACAGCTTATCTACCTATGTGGAGAATATACCCCTCAGTAAACACTACTGTGAGCTTACAGTGGACCAGATACTCCCTTAATTCCATGTGTTGACACTCTTTGCAAGCCATGTCACCTATGCAACGAGTGTCAACCTGGGGATCTGACAAGGAGCAGCTACTACACTGGAGAGTCTTACCCTGGCCCGTGTGCCAGTGTCTTTCCTGTGTAGACAGGCCCTCAGCTCCTTTTCCAACTTAGGTCTAACTTGCAGAATACTGGAGGATGAAACAAACCCAGAGGAACAAAGGGGCAGCTGGGGAAGAAGTGCTGCAAGGTAAGGCTAGAGAAGTACCTCAGTAGCTTTGGATTTTGTCTCCTCCAGGGTATGCACCAAGTCCACATTATCCAACATGTTTCCTGTGGAAGTCGCCAGCTCGCGGAGGAGAGAGTCTTCCAGATCCTTTAGCAAGTTTTTGTTCTCACTGGTTTCCTGAATGAGATGTTCTCTCTGCTCTTCTAGCTCTCTTCTTTCAAACCCCACAATAACGCTAAGCAGTTGATCTTCCAGGCCTTTTAGAGTAACTATAGGAGTATATGAAGAGCCATACATTTAGTGCAAAGCTGGTTAAAACCCAAAGGCTAGTTTTCCTGCTGCGCCTTAAACCTACATAATTTATCAGCATTGCATGCTCAAGGGTGTGGAACAATTATAGGACAGAACCATTAACCAAACAGATCTGGGCCTCATCTGACAGATCTAGTCAGTGACGTTTAGGTCAAGGGATACACATCCTAATGAACTAGATAATTCCTGTATCCCACTTCTGAGATAGTCAGAAGCACAGGCAGTAGTTACAGAACTTGCTCCCTATCTTCTGCCTCATACAGAACCAGATTCTGATATAGCTTTCCTCGTTCTGAATAGCATCTCATGTCATATAGTACAACATAAATACCAGTGCCAGATTCTGCCTTTCATTCAGACCAGTGCCAGATGTGTGCAGTCAGAGAAACAGCAGTTAATCCAACTAAAAGGGCAACTGACTTCAGACTAATGGATTTGCAACTTATATCCACCTACTGAAAACACTCCCAGTTTGCAGTTCAACCCATACCAAGTACTTTGTGGCAGTTTCTGATATAATAGGAAATATCTGGGTTCCTTAGAGCAATTGAAAACTTAACAATAGCCATGCATACTTAAGATGTGTCCTGTTGCACAAAAGCAGGCATTTGCTTACCAGTATAATTGATAACCATGGCTTTCCCAAATACTGATGGTGAATATTTAGGGTTAGCAAGCTTAGTGTTCAGGTACAATTTGAAGTTACTGTCATAGTCCACTTCCTTATCACCCAAGATGATGAACGTTCGGCCCTGCACCACTTTAAAATTCTTTTCCAAGACATTGTCTATGACAGGATCTATATATTCATCAACGTCATGGAACAGGAAGGGACTTCCATACTTTATGGCCATTTCTAGCTGTTTAAGGAAATCTGGATCATTAAAAGATGCCATCTGGAAGAGAACACAAAAATAGAAAGGTTGGGAAACAGAGCTAACAGCTTGCTAAACATTGCACTTAAACAATTGCGAACATTCGAAAAAAGCTCTGCTGTTTGTGGAGCTCTGCTTTTCAACCTGCAGACGATGGAAGTCTCACTGGTAGGGAAAAAGGAATACACTAGGCCTGTGTGAAGGGGCTAGTATTCACTTCAGATTCAGATACAGCAGATTCAGGAGACAGCAATTTGATTCACTGTCCTGAATTGGTTCGGCCCAATATGATTCGGCGATTCGGCCACTGCCAAATCTCCAAGTCAAACAAGCCCCATCTCCCACCCACTCTCCCCGCCCCATCAATGGCTG